TCCCTTTTCCAGCCCAGTAGAACCGGATCTCTAAGACGTTACTTGTCACATTGACATTATCTACTTGCTTAACTAATCTCTTTTGAGCCATGCCTGCCTCATGTTCAATATTGAAATCCTTCCACACCAACTTTTCCTGATAAAAAAATGACCTTGTCAAAACGTTGAGTCACAAGAACATAAAGATGGCAGTTGCTAATTACCTGAACATAGATATCGAAAATACGCCTCCCAAGACTAGTGTATCCCTTGTCATTAGTGAATTTTATCTCCGCAAAGTGGAGAGTTATAGTGTAAATCCCATTTTCTAAACAATAGTGGAAATAAGTAAGTGAAAGCGGAGATATGCGTGCTGTTGTATATAGCTCAGAAAGATTGGAAGATGGTAGAGATACAGAGTAGCGTGTATTCTGCAGCTCGAAGCCATCCATGAAGTCTCCGGTGCTACTAAATCCCCACATACTTTTCTCATTCCTAAAATACTTGGCACTGCCACCTTCAACTCTTCCATCTCCTTCAAACAACACGTTCGCGTTATTCTCGTCCTTGACAATTATGTCACTCCCACCACAATTAATATGCATACAGTTTGAATCTGCCCAAAAAATTGTCATGAGTGAAGATAAATTCAAAGATGGTGTAATTGCTAAATTTATATGTGCATGTTCGTAAATGAACTCCGACACTGAACTTTTAGGTGTAAAATAAGGCTATTGGTTTCAAATTAGTTTCATAGCAGTCCATAATACTTAAACTGCAGCAAGTATGCTTACATCGTGGGCACTTAAAATTCTTCAAGCATGGAAGAATTCCCCTTCTGTCACAGATTGATCCAAACGTTTAACAAGCAAATTTTGAAGTTAACTTACGAAATTGAAAAGAAAACATATAAAGAAACAATCAAGCAAAACAAAAAGAAGCATCTTACAAGTTGTTCTCCTCTGAAGAGCTCCGATACAAGTTTAGATTTAAATTCCTGAAACAGGACAGTTGGTGAAAAAACTATTAGTTTTCCTAACCACCGTAATCTAAGAAGTAATCTGTAGAGAATAGTATATGTTCAGACAAGTTCTTTTGACAATCCGGTTTCTCAGGGCCTTGAAATGTGAAGTTATTGTAGGACAAATCACTGCAAAAAAAGCATAAACAACAACTGTCAGTTTTGCAATAAAACAGGAACCTGAGTGCCATGGAATTAGAAAGAAGAAGGGGAGATATTTGCAATATACAATGGTAGATACACAGAATTTGGAACTTATTAGAATGCAGAAATAAGAAGGAACCATAAGCTAATAGAAAGCGTTTCAGAAAACGAACTTACACAATACTTCCATCTCGCAAGATTGATCTTGGCACGTTTCCACTTAGCAGGTTGCCAGTCAAAAAGCTAATCAAAGCAACACATAGTATTAGCACTTGATGTGGACTATCAAGAAAAATGTGAACTTCATAAATTTGGTTTTATTTTTATGACATGGTTATTGGCCAAAAAGCAAGTTGTTCAGACGAAAAACTGTTTAGTGTGCCGATTTGCTAGTGGTGCAGATGCAGAGGTACATGCTTGTATAAAACTCGTCACTACTTTTGTCCTGTAATAGTTATTACTGGTGTATCCAGAATTTGATATCAACTAACTGTTCTCTGTTGTAGACTAAAACTGATAGTATCAAAACGTAAATAATTTCGCACTTACACAAATTTTAGACGCTCAGCTCCTATCGTGGATGGAAGTTGGCCTGCTAACTTGTTGAAACTGACATCCCTATCACCATTTTATAATAACAATCAATTAGTCTCCATCCTAAGTCCTAACACAGATTTCATTCAGCAGATACATTAAATAAAATTTTATTGCTTACAACATCTCTAGATTCTTCATGGACCAGATATATGCGGGGATTTCTCCGGAAATATTGCAGTTCCTCAAAACCCTTCAATTTGTTAAACAATCAGCATCAACACAGCTCTTAGTTAGAGGCTTATAGCTATTGAATAGAAAAAGAACAGCAGGTAGACATACAATTTTTGGCAGAAGAATTCAATGATGAGCAGCAAATTCATGCTCACCAATTGTTAGGTCAAAAAACCAGCGGTAACAATCAAATGCAATAAAATGCTTTCGTCAGCGGTTGGATTTTGTTTTAACAATTGATGAAAAATGGAGTTTTGTCTTTCGCAACAAGTAGGAAAACATGATTGTCTGTGTGCGTGAGTATGCGCTTGCACTTATACATGCATATGAAATCATCAAGCTTATCAAAGCATTCAAAGGTGAAGCTCTCTCGACATACAATCTTACTAGGCTTGTCAAATTTCTCAGCAAAGGAAATTCCTGATATGGTCCATTTGTGTCACTAATCCTCCTGCATAAGATATGACATGATGTGCAGAATTACTAGTCAAGCATACACAAAAGATCATGCAGAAAAGCTGAGCAGAATGAGAATGCAAATTACTCACAACTCTTCCAAATTGTTCAAGAGAGAAATATTAGATGGAATCAGTCCTTCCAGTCCACTCGAATGCATTTCCCTTCAACAAGGCAATTGAAAAAAGAAAACGATTCATACAGGGTATAAACTTTTAAATGGTCAAATGGCAACGGGAACAACTTGTTTTACGAAAGTATAAGGATCTTACAATCTTGTGAGTTTTTTCCAATTCTGTACCCAATCAGGTAGTGTTCCACTAAAGTTGTTATCATTTATTCGGCTGCATTTCATTAGCATTTTGCTGATTAATTAGTTACAAGCACCAGTTTATTATAAAAAGCAACAAATCTAATTGAATCTTACAAATCATTTAAAATCCTTAGCCCAGAAAACGTCTCTGGCAAGTATCCAGTCAGCTGATTGGAGGAAAGCATCCTACATTTGCAACATGCAGTATGAACTATCAACTCAACATAAACTACTCTAAATCCTTTTTAGAAATATAAAGAGAGGTTTGGTAACTTACAAAGTCTGCAAATTAACCAAATTCCCAAGCTCAGTAGGAACAATACCAGAAAATTGGTTCCCCTCAAGGTTCCTGATGATTTACGAAAGAAAAAGAAAGGAAAGTTGATGTATCATTTTTATGAGTATATTTACACAACAATCACAAGAACTTGAATCAAAATGCAGTTACGTACAGGAATGTCAGAGTGGTAATATGTCCCAAATGCTTTGGGATTTGCCCCGATAACCGATTGACAAGAACAGAGCTGCAGGAAATTCACTATTAGATATACGTACATAGCAACGAGATCAAAACCTTTTCAAAGAAATTCAAAAGGCTCACATATAAGTTAGTTTCGTTGAAGCCCATTCCCGGGGTATTGTACCATTGAGATAGTTGTAAGCAAAATCACTACAAGAGAGAAATGTTACTTTGAACAATTAACTAATAAATAACTAAAGACATGTAGCATCCAATTCCGAACCTCAAATGTATATCATGTAAGTCAAATATGATAGCTCTTACATTTTTCGAAGGTAAGGAAGTTTGACGAGTTGAGGTGGAAGCAACCCAGGTAAACTGAAACCCTTGAGCGTTCTGTAACACATTAAACACATGCTATTAAAGTTGTTACCGAGAGTCAGAGCTGTGACATGGTGGGTGTTGCCTTCTTAAGCCGATGGAGATGAAAAAATCAAAGAAAAAGTAAAAGTCAAGACTCATACAGCGTTGCAACATGGCAAACAGTGCTGTTCTCAAAGTTGCAATCACAATCAGTATTTGCCTGGGATCCCTTCGGCTGCTTCTTTGTTAGACCCACGGTTTCAATTCGGCAAGCATCGGTGTTAAAAGTCCAATAATTTGCACCCATCGTGGTAGCAATTTCTTGGAGAGCATCAACTAAAAGGCATCCAAACTCAAACAATACTATAAGCATCATAGCTGTAGCAAATCAATACTGTAAACAAGCAATGAGTGAATGCCACGACTAGACGCAATTTTGATGAAGGAGCTTATATAATATTCTCTAGATTGCTTATGGAAGGTTCTAACGACTGAAAACACTTCAGATTACGATTGACAACAAAACTTATAAGTGCTTTTTGCGTTGAGAGGCACCTAAGCTCTTCTTCGGGAAGCACTTGGATTGTCGATAAAATTCGAACATGTTTGTAACAAAAGCGCTTATATATGCATATAAGCTCTTTTGGCAGTTTCAAAAGGAGGATCCCTCATAGTGATAACTTGAAACTGAAAACCGAACAATTCTCAGTTTGGGTTGCCCATATCAGGCAGGCCAGCTAATCCAAACAGGCAACTAGGGATTGTAAACAGTAGAAAGATATATAGTAATAAACACTCACCTTCCTGTTGGGGTAACTTAGGCAGCTGAGCAAGTCCCCGAAGTGTGAAGCAACTCAATGCAATAATAATGAAGCAAACAAAGAGCAAGAGGTTACCAGCCAGCTGACGCATCGTCACCAATTAGCAATGAAATTGTAGTAATTGGATAAGTATTTGCAGACGGCCAATCTTATAAGGTGTGAGAGAAGTAGGTACTTTTTACTGTTCATTGAGATCACTGTACGTTTGTTTTGAGGTGATAATTGCACGTGTGATCGAAACGCACGACTGGGGAACATTGTGGTCTCGTTTTAACGAAAATTAGAAAGAAAATAATGCATATGTTATGAAAAGAAAGAATGAATGAATGCTAACGTAGAATTCAAACGACCGTGAATGTTTTTAGGTGGAATAGTTTTGTGGTTGATCAATCAACAAATAGTAAGTCTTGTTTCTACGCTATAATTTTCAAAATAACGTTATTCATATCATGTTTTTATATCATATTTTTATACCATTTTAGGTAACATCTGATGTGAACTACTACATTATTTAAAAAAATTGCAAAACCCAAGGAAATGAAAGAGAAAGACTAAATTAACTAGTTTTTCTTAATTATTAGTTTATTAAATAATGAACTAAATTTAAAAATATGATTAATTCAAATGATGTGATTGTCCACATCAAATGCCACATAAGATGGTATGAAAATGTGGTACAAAAACATGATATGAATAACATTACTCTAATTTTTATACGAGTTCATCTCATATGAAGATAGCATTCAAAGGTAACACTAAAAATAAATCAACCTTAAGGTCCTATTTATAGTGCATAGGACTTAAGTTACAATGAAAATCCTAACCCTAGTTGGAATAAATAAATTATCAAAATTTCTCCGCCATGCAAAGAATTCAAGTATTCAACCAAGAAGTGCGAAACTCATCCCTATAAGACACAATAACTAAACATGAAATGCAAGAGGATTTCTCTGCCCGTCACCGATTGATCGGTTGCCACCTACAATTGGTCGCCATGGTACCAGAACTCTTCAAATGTTTCTTTTCTGCTTCTATACGATCAATAGCCACTTCCAGATCGTATCGGACATTTTAATTTTGAGCCGTAAATCACAACATTTTAACCAATGATCTAACGGTTAAAAACCACTGGAGTATGATAAAATTTCTAGTAAAGTCGAGTTGATGATCATTGCTGAGCTGTCAAAAGCCGAAAATCAAGAACTTTTCATTGAGCAATGTTGATTTGAAAAATAGAGACGGAGCAATTGGTAGAGGAGGTCGGATTTTTGTTTAGTACAAAAAAACTTTTAAATTTAGAAACTATAGCCATTTTAGGAAGTCGGATTTAACTCAAGTCATGGCCTGATGTGATGAAGAGGACGAACAAAATGTATTAGCATTTGCCGAATTCTGAGACTGACTGCCACTCAAACTCTGTGTTTGGCTTTGATGATGTACATCTCTCAAGGACTTGAACCTCAAATCTTCAGTATAAGTACTCGCTTCTGGGATAATGTCTGGGACTTCTGTTTGTCCTTCGAGCATGCTCACCACCTCGGACATGGTAGGCCTAAGCGACGCAGACGCATTTGTGCACAGCAGACCGACTTTAACCACAACTTCTGCTTCTTTGTCGTTGACTTCAGTCCCTAAGTTCTCATCAATCAGCTCCTTCAATTTTCCAGTTCGTTGCAACTGATAGGCCTGCATGCAACCACAGAAATTTCACTTTATCAAAAGGTTTCCTACTGATTAACATAAATTTGTCGAGAAGCTACAATTTTATGCAATGGCTTGAGAGATTCAAAAGCCGTAATTAGTACCCAGTCCAGGAGAGAGAGGCAAGTTATATTTGGGACATGGCTGTTCTTCTTCCCACTGGCAATTTCCAAGGCAACAACTCCGAAACTGTAAACATCTGCTTTGTAGGTCAAGTGACCCCATAACGCATATTCTGGTGCCATATATCCTCTGCAGATTAAGATCGTTCGAACATTTGGTTATTCCAATTAAAAAGAAAAAACAATGCATAAATATGTAAGCATACGTCCAAGAAAATTTAATCGTAACTGACATTGTTCCTGCAACTTTGGTGCTAATGTGTGTTTTCTCCTCTTCATAAAGTTTAGCCAATCCAAAGTCGGATATTTTTGGGTTAATATCCGCATCCAGCAGTACATTGGTAGCTTTTATGTCTCTGTGAACAATCTTGATTCTTGATTCTTCATGCAGAAAAGCTAAACCTCTTGCTATCCCAAGACAGATCTTAAGCCTTGTAGGCCAGTCCAGTTTAATCTGATGGTTCTCCTGATCTATATATCATCCAAAAAAAATTGCTTCTTACTCATCCCAATACAATTATTATTTCGTTCTCTTTCGAAAAATTATATAAGTGATCAAATGTTAAGTACTCCGATCTTCGGTTGATCAAACTGAAGCCATAAAAGTTCAGGATTAGAGAAAATGACAGAAAACCTACCGAATAAGACATGTGCAAGACTATTGTTTTCCATGTATTCGTACACCAGCAATAATTGATCCTCTTCAATGCAGCATCCATGCAGTTTCACTAGATTCGGGTGCTGTAAACAAGTTATCATGCCCATCTCATTTAAAAATTCGCGATTTCCTTGCTTTGAATTGGATGAGAGCTGCTTAACTGCTATCAATGAACCATCAGGTAACTGACCCTGCATCCCCACCTTAAATTTTAGAATCTACTTTTCAAATCATGAGAATTCCATATGCCAGGAAAAAAAAAAAACAAAAGCGCTACCTTGAAGACAGGGCCAAAACCGCCTTCTCCAATCTTGTTTGCAGAATCAAAGTCGTTACTGGCAGCTTTGATTTGTTCTAAAGTAAAAGTTCTCGTCTGCATATTTTGTCCTACAATATCTGTTCCAAAAACAAAATAAAGTAGGCCAATGAGTTCCTGGTGTTATTTAACATATTTTTCTTGGCAATGACATTGCTGGTTTAATGTAATATGCACCTTGTTGTCTCCCTCTTTTTCCTCCCAAACATCCTTTCCACCTAAGGATTGCCAGCATGAAGAGTGTTAGGCATAATCCTCCAACACCAACACCGGCAATGATATAAATAGTCCGCACAGTTCCGCCATTTTTACAGGGTTTAAAATCTGGCCAATGAGTAAACTAAACAAATTAACGTCACTCAGAAGCCAGAAGTGCTTTCAAGCAAATGAGTAAACCTTTTGCACAATCTCAGAATCTATGATATGACAAGAAACCTTCACTCAACCTTCAGTTCATATGATGGTACTAAAATGACAGTGTAGGAAACGTCGACAAGACTGACTCACCAGAAACCACAGAGATGGCTGATATAAGGGGACCATAATTTCCTTTCTCTGGAATTGCCGTTGTTCCTTTTCCAGCCCAATAGAATCGGATCTCTAAGACATTACTTGTCACATTGACATTAGATACTTGCTTAACTAATTTCTTTTGAGCCATACCTGCCTCATCTTCGATATTGAAATCCTTCCACACCAACCTTTCCTGAAGAACAATGGTTATCAAAACCTCAAGTTGCAGCCTTGCAGCCATAAAAAGATAGGCATTTTGAACAGTGTAGATAATTACCTGAACATGGATGTCAAAAATACGCCTCCCAAGGCTACTGTATTTTTCGTCATTTGTGAATATGATTTCCGCAAAGTGGAGAGTTATAGTGTAAATTCCATTTTCCAAACAGTAGTGGAAATATGTCAGCGAAAGTGGAGATGTGCGTGCTGTCGTATATAATTCAGAGAGATTTGAAGACTCCAGTGAGATAGAGTAACGTGTATTTTGTTGATCGAAGCCGTGCATGAAGTCACCAGTGCTACTAAATCCCCACATACTATTCTCATTCCTAAAATATTTTGCAGTACCACCTTCAACTCCTCCATCTCCTTCAAACATGACATTCCTGCGATTCTCGTCCTTGACAATTATGTCACTTCCACCACAATTAATATGCATACAATTTGAATCTGCCCAAAAGAAATGGTGACAAGCGAGGATAAATGTGATTTAGCCAGTAAATTAAGCATGGTGCAAATGCTAATCATCCTTACAACTTTGAATTCCAAAGGACAAAAGTGAGATATGCGTGAACTCTAGTACGTATACTTACATCGTGGGCACTTAAAATTCTTCAAGCAGGGAAGCATTCCCCTTCTGTCACAGAATGAGCAGAAAGATTTTAGCAAATTTGGCTCATTGTCTTGTAATTAACTTAAGAAATTATATTGAAAATAAGCAAAATAAGAGAGCTCCGATACAAAAAGAAGCATCTTACAAGTCGTCCTCCTTTGAAAAGCTCCGATACAAGTTCAGATTTAGATTCCTGAAACATGACAGTTTGTGAAAACACTCAGTTTTACCAAACCACCTCAATCTAGAAAGTAATCCATAGAGAAAATTATGTGTTCTTACAAGTGTTCTTGACATTCCGGTTGCTTAGGGCCTTGCAACTTGAAGTTATTGTACGACAAATCACTGCAAAAATCATAAGAAAGTAACTGTACTCAGTTTTGCAACAAAACAGGAACCTGAGTGCCATGTAATTAGGAGTAAGACGGGGAGACATTTATGGTATACAACAGTATATACACAGAAACGAGGTATTAATAGGAAGCGTTCAGGAAACAAACATACACATTACTTCCCTTCAGCAAGATTGACTTCGGAACATTTCCACTTAGCAGGTTGCCAGTCAAAAAGCTAATCAAAGCAGCATAGAGTATTAGTATTGTACCTCACAATACTATCAAGAAAGATGCTGAGTTCAGCGATTAGGTTGCTGCATTTCTCACTTACACAAATTTCAGACGCTCAGCTCCTATCGTGGATGGAAGTTCGCCCACTAGGTTGTTGAAACTGACATCCCTGACCATCGCATAGCAACAATCAATCAACCTCCATCCTAACACAGATTCATTAACCAAATATATGACAGAATAAGTAAAGGGTTGATTGCATCCAAGAAACATTGTTTGAAAAATGAACTATATGTTTGCGCTCGACATACATTCCTCCTCCAGAGCAGGGTGCTGATTGTAGTCAGATAACATTTGACATTTAGGAAGCTGGGCAGATAGCTCATTCAGTAGGAGACTTTTGTACTATTCCACTTTATTGCAGACATTCACTTCTGTAGGTGTCTGTGTGTGGTGTGATTCAAGCATCAAAAAGTAAATTTTTTACGAGTTTTATTACTTACAACATCTCCAGGTTCCTCATGGACCAGATATATGCAGGGATCTCTCCAGAAATGTTACAGTTCCTCAAAATCCTTCAATTAGTTAAATAATCAGCATCAAACAGTTCTAGTTAACAGAAAAAGATATGTGCATGAGTGTGCGCTTGTGAGTATACATGTATATGAAATCATCGAAGTATTCAATGACATAGCTCTCTCTCAAACATACAATGTTACTAGGCCCGTCATATTTCTCAGCACAGGAAATCCCTGACTTGGTGCATTTGTGTCACTAATCCTCCTGTACAAAGAGACACCACGATGTACAAAATAATTAATCAAATCTGCAGGAAAGATCATATAAAAAATAACTTAGCAGAATGAGGATCCAAATTACTCACAACTCTTTCAAATTGTACAAAAAAGAAATATTTGATGGGATTGGTCCCTCCAGTCCACTTGAATGCATATCTCTTCAAGAAGACAAGTTTTTGGAAATAAAAAAGATTAATACATGCTATACAAAATTTAAAAATTCAAAAGGCAATAAGAACAGCTTGTTTCACTAAAAAAATATAAGGATTTTACAATCTTTCGAGTTGCTTCCAATTCTGCACCCATGTCGGGAGTGTTCCATTAAAGTTGTTATCATTCATTCGGCTGCATTGCAGTATAATTTTGATTATCAGACACGTGAATCAGTATAATGCTATAAAGGAGAAACAAATCTAATTAAACCTTACAAATCTCTTAAACTCCTTAGCTCAGAAAACGTCTCTGGCAAGTTTCCAGTCAGCTGATTTGAGGAAATAAACCTACACTTGCAACATGCAGCAAGGCGTTATTATCTCAACATACACAAGTTTGTAGTCCTTCAAAAAAAAATTGGGAATAAGAGGATTTGATGTCTTACAAAGCCTGTAAACCGACCAAATGCCCAAGCTCAGTAGGAAGAATACCAGAAAACTGGTTTGCTTCAAGGTTCCTGATGATTTGTAAAAGAAGCGAAAAAGAACGTTGATGTAATAAATATCATATCTTACGGAAATTTCGTTCATATATAGGTCAACTAGCAAGTAACGAGGCATGTAGTATGGTTAAACAACACGTACAGGAATGTCAGAGTGGTCATGTTTCCCAACTCCTTTGGAACTTCACCTGATAAGCGATTGGCAAGAACAGAACTGCAGAAAATTCACTAATAAATATACATAGCAACCCGATTAAAACCTTTTCACAGAAATTCAAAAGGCTTACATATAAGTTAATTTCATTGAAGCCCATTCCCGTGGTATTGTACCCTTGAGATAGTTGTAAGCAAAATCACTGCACGGAAAGAAATGCTACTTTAATTAAGATATAAAGATATGTATCGTCCAAATCTCGAAAATCAAGTAATTCAAATACGTTAGCTCATACATTTCTCGGAGGTAAGGAAGCTTGACGAGTTGGGGTGGAAGCAAACCTGGCAAACTATAACCCTTGATCATTCTGTAAAATGTTTAACAAATAGTTAAAGTATTGAGCAGAAACTACCGAAATTGAGAACTCTGAAACATGGAAGGCAGTGACTTTTTCTTAAATCGTGGAAAAATCAAGGTGAGACATGAAGTTCAAAAGAATCATACAGTTTTACGACATGACAAACAGTGTTGTTCTCAAAGTTGCATTCGCAATCGGTATTTTTCTGGGATCCCCTTGGTTGGTTCTCTGTTACACCCACCATATCAATTCGGCAAGCATCAGCACCAGCGTTGAAACTCCAATATTTGGCCCCCATCGTGGTAGCAACTTGTTGGAGAGCATCAACTAAAAGGCAATGGCATCCAGATTCAAACAGCAACAGAAAACAAATCAATGTAAAATGAGATAAAGGGCAAGGCCGAGAGTACCCTACTTTTCTTTGTGTAATATAAGGTGTATTTCGTAATGAAATCAGCATAATCGTTGAGCTCTGTACACGAAGCTCTACACCATGCTCTAGAAGAACTTGATGCAACAAATGATCTTAGATTCTCGACTGAGAATGTAATTAATCTAATCTAAGCTACAAGGAGCGGGATTCGAACTGGGTGTGGAGGGGGGAGCACACTGATCTACTGCTAGGTCTGCAAACTTCAGCCAGTTAAATGACTGCAATAAAGAGCTTATAGATCCAGTCATGGATGAGTCCTTGTACCAGCTATGGATATATATAAAATATATACACATGTCTGTGTGTGTGTGTAAATATAAACAACTCAACTCAACTCACCTTCCTCTTGGGGCAACTGAGGAGGCTGAGCAAGTCCCGGCAGCAAGAAGCAACTCAATGCAACAAGGAAGCAAACAAAGAGCTTACCAGCCAGCTGCTGCATCATCATCAACATTTATGAAAATTGTACTAATCGATCTTTAACAAAAGTTTATTCTGAGGATACAGCGTGTATGGATTTGTCATTTGTGAGGTAGACGAGCACTCGTCTACTGTTCCCTGATGTGATCATTGAACCTGTATTAAGATTGATGGTGAGGAACAAGGGGGACGAAGACGCACACTCAGGAACGTTATGGTAGCACTGTAGTGGCGGGCTTAAAACAAATAATGCATTATTACATGACAAAGTTTAAACACACGTGAGTGCATTGTAGGCGGCTTGGTGGCGGCGTTTCGAGTATCGCGCTGCAGTGGAGAAAAGGACGATGGTGGTCAATTACGGAACTGGATCCTCTCCGGATCAAGGGATCTGAACCAACCGAGCAATGCATCCGGATCATTGAAATTTGATCCAATAGCTACAAATAGGGGCTCATCTCTAAAGTTATAATAGTTATAGTCGTTAGATCAAATTTCAATGACCCGAATGCATTCCTCAGTGGGTTCAGATCATTTTGGATCCAGAGAGGATTCACTTCCGTCAATTACCAAGGGCTGACTGGCTAAGCACCTCTTTACCTTTAAATTCCTTTTCGAAATCAAAGTTGGATTGGTACAATCACAAAACATTAAACAATTACACGCAATAAAATTTGACTTGACTTGTAGCAATACGCACTTGCATGCATGGACCAATTACTACCCAAAAACTTGACCCATTAAATATCTAACATGATAGGTCAACTTCACATATTCTTCGTTTTGTCACCCGTTGTATACAGTTATGAGTATTTAATTAATAAACACAATTATACACCATATTTCATTAAGCTATTAACAAAATGTTCTTTATCAATAAAAAATGGTCAAAAGACAATTTGATCTTCTATCACAAAATAAAATTTTGAGCAATAATATAATTTAGCACAAAAAAATTTTTAATTTTTTTTTTTTTAACAAACCTCACACATTGACACACATGTATCATAGCATCTCCAATTTTAAAAATATATATACAAAACCCACATGTTTTCTCGCTTACATTTTTCTCCAACTTCTTTCTTTTCCATATTTTTTTTGTTTAAATTTTTTTTATATTTGCACAAACATAGTGAATGGGCTTCATCTAAAGATTATGATGATATCAAATCGGTAATCGTTTCATTTGTTAAAAGACAATAATATCTATAAATTATAGATAGTTTATGGTCATTCATAACCAAACTACATTTCTATTTACAGTGAGCAAAGTTCTAAAAGGTACTAGGTGGTGGTAGGGCGACGGCAAGGCCTAGTGCTTGGGTGTCTAACTGGAGCCTAGGTGGGGACCTAAGCGTTTTTTAAATTTTAATTAAATGTATTATATAACATATAAGTAAATGTGTACCTATACTTAAAAAAACACATAATTGTATTGGAAAACATAAATTGAAAACTAGAATGATATATATATTATAAAGTATTAAAACATATTGAAAACATAAAGTACAATGATATAATGAGTGTTCATCGAAGTATCCAACCTACAATCAATTAAAAAAATAAAATTCAATATAGAAGTTATCTATTTTTTGTCTAGATAAGAGTTGCGATCTAGACGTGTCTATAAACGCCCTTTATTAATTTTTAGACGCTTATGAATTAATTGTGAGGTTGGTTAGCCACCTACACCCAGACGGGTGCCTAAGCGGTGTAGGCCGGGATTTTGTAAAACACAGATGGTGACAAAACAATTTTTACACACACTTTTTACTCTTAAACCAAGAAGAAGTTAAAAATAATTTAATTTTTACTCTTTCCTTGAGCATTTAGGGCTGGTTTGGTATTGCTGTGCTTTGAAAAAAAATTACTGTGAGAATAAGTGGTTGTGCTGTGAGAATAAGCGGCTGTGAAATAAAGCAGCAGAGTGTTTGGTAAACTTTTTTGTGCTTTTGGAAAAAAAAAAAAAAAGTAGTCTGATAGTGGGTCTTTTCATTAAATGAGCACTATAGCTCCTTGTGCTTTGAAAAAAAGCCAGTTTTCCAAAGCTGCAAATAGCAGCGTAAGCTTTTTCCTTTGATTTCAACTTATTCTCACAGCAGCTTCCAAAATAAGCCTTTTTTTTTTAGTTTACCAAACACCTAAAACCCTCACAGCTTTTTTTTTATGAGTGCTTTTTTTTTAAGCACCTCACTCCCAAACCACCCCTTACTCTATCTAAAGCTTTATCCAAAAAGAATTAAAAAACGAGAAGGCTAAAAACGCAGCGTTTTCTTCACGTTCTTTAAGTAATGAGTGGCAGATGTTGATACGATAGCAATCAGCAAACTCCAGCCCCACGCTACGCTGCAGCAGCGATGGAAGTTACAGAACCTCCCGCCTCAAACAACGAAGACGAAAACGACGACGTCTTCTTCGACGCCCTCGACGACTTCCCCTCCGACGACGAATCAGATCAATCCACGTCACCCCCAACACTCTCTCTCCCCGATTCCAAACCCCCTCAGGCGACCCACCTCCGTCGCAGGTCATTTGTCCGAGCATTCACCGGCGACGACTCAAACACTTCAACTTTAGAAGAATCCTCTCTCAGCTCCTCCCGAATTGACCCCACCAACGACGCCAGGCTCAGTTTCCGAGCTAGAAGATTTAAGCTCCCCCGGAGTTTGAGGGAGTCCGAGTCGACACCGGACCCAGGCAGCTCGGCGCAAGTTCCGAGTGACCAGAACGATGAGGGTTCGACTGTAACTACCGCCGCAAACGACGGCCCATCCGCCGACTCCGCCAACTCGGCCGCGCAAATCGGTGACCCTTCGTTTAACCTTCTTGTTTTCATAGCAGGATTGGTAATCAAAGCAATTGGGCTCCAAATTAATCTATTCGTTAGCATCGTAACATTTCCCATATGGGTTTTGCACAATTCTTACATGCTGGTAGTCGACCCCTTTCAAACTGTGCGTCGAGGGAGAGAGTATTTAAACGGAAAGTTGTTAAATTTGTGGAATTTGGCTAGTGGGTGTGTGAGTCCTCTGGTTTTCGAGTGGTTGAAGGACAACAATGCGGTTTGGAAGGTGGCATTGCGGTGTGGTTGGGGTTTGTTTTGGTCATGCTATGTTGGTATTGTCTTGTGTTCTCTCTTGGTCTCGTCGATTTTGTTTAGTGGAGTTTTAGTGAGGTGCATTGTGGTGGAGCCACTGCAGATGAAGGAAATGTTGAATTTTGATTACACCAAACACAGTCCGGTGGCTTATGTGCCAGTGATGTCGTGCGCTGGTGTGAGTTGTGGTACGGATTGTAAAGAGAAGGTTCAGGCTGGGGAGAGTTATGGGGGGTATCGGGTTATACCTCCTGGTCATAAATTGAGGGTTACTGTTTCGTCCATATTGCCTGAATCGGAGTACAACAGGAATCTCGGAGTCTTTCAGGTAACTTGCTTTATTCACTTAAATGTGAATTCCTATTCGTTGTTTCAGACTTCTATCATGCGTCTTGTTTTTTTCATTAATTCATAATGGAATTGGTTGTTTCGAGTTTGCTGTTTCATGGTAGAGTTTCGTTTGTTTAATAAAAGGGTATATGAAGTTTGGGTTGGTGATCGTTGTCGTTAGCTTTCAAGTAGCATTGTGTACATATGGTGTGTTATGGCAATAGTTTTCTCCTTGCTTGTCCCCTGAACGGAGATGCACAAGATTGTCACGGTCGTCACTTGATTTTAGAAGGCATAGGAACTGTGGAACAATGTGGGACATGAAGATTGATTAGTAAGCCTTTCCTTTAATCTAAAGCATTGATCTTTTGTAGAAATCTGGTGATGCTGTTCTTTTGTTTAGAGATCTTACTATCATCATGAATTCTTATACTGGCACCAGGGGAAGTAAGGAAGTTGAATTGTTGATACAGCAGTACGAAAGGAGCTAGTATATCTCTTTCCAAGTCTCTGAGTTAAATACCTCGGGTACCTCATGCCACTTGTTGTGTTACAGGGGAAGAAATGAAAATTTTAATTTCCATTAGAGGCTTTCACCATCAACACTTTTAGATCCACTGTTAATCCTGATTAACAAAACCTAATTAATTTTACATTGCCATGTAATTGAAACCAAAAAAAAAAACTAAAGATTTGGCAATCTCTCGCTCTTTTTCTCTCTGAAAAGACGTTTTGCTATCATGAATTTTTATTTTACTAATTTTGTTTTATTTTTGTAGGTCAGGGTCCAGTTCCTGTCTGTTGATGGTAAAACCCTTGCCAGTTCGAGCCAACCATGCATGTTACAGTTCAAAAGTGAGCCTATCCGCCTTCTATTGACTTTCCTTAAGGTTGTCCCTCTTGTTGCCGGCTATGTTTCAGAATCCCAAACTCTGACTCTCAAGTTTAGAGGGTTTGTCGAAGGTGATGTTCCCACTGCCTGCTTAAAGGTGACAATAGAACAGCGTGCAGAATACTCGCCTGGAGCCGGTATTCCCCAAATATATGATTCATCGGTGACCCTTGAGTCAGAACTTCCCCTATTTAGAAGATTTATATGGAATTGGAAGAAAACTATATTCGTCTGGATAAGCATGATGGTGTTCATGACGGAGATGCTCGTTACTCTAATCTGCTGTAGACCATTAGTGATTCCGAGAAGACCAAGGGATCGTTCTGTCAGCAGCACTGCCACTCAAAACAGCCTCCCGGTGCGGACTTAACTGGAAACATGCCGGTAGTTATGGAAGCAGGGGAACCTTTGTTAGACTTCTCACTTTTAACCTATTCAATTCTATAGTATCTAACTTAAAATTTCCACTCATTTTTTAAATTCTTTAAGCCGCAGTGTAAATAATGTCTTTTTTTTACCTGTTGAAACTTGTCTTTCCATATAAATGTCGGAAGCAATTTATAATTTACATTTGTATTCTATAT